CTGGGGAGGGACAATCCTTTCTGCCTGCACCTCAGCCTCTGACCGGGCTCGAATTTGAGATGCAGAGAGGCAGGAAGAGGTCCAGGTGGCAGGGGGCTCTGGCCTCTCGCCCCCTTAAGTGCACCAATCAATCATCCGGGGGAGCTCTGGAGAAATGGGCGCGCAAGAGGAACGATGCCGGAACACGAGGAGGGAGATCCCAAAAGACGCACCCTCTGCACCAGCTCATGCATGGTTATCTGAAGGGACGCCTTATCCCGGAGGTACCTGCCTGGGCCCCAAGATCATCCTCGGAGGTCCCTTCCAAGGAGCCCCCCCCCAGGGAAGTAAGGGGTGAAGACTAGGAGGAGGGCCTTCTCAGCCGTGGCACCCCATCTTGGGAATAAGCTCCCCAGAGAGCTTCGCCTGGCACCTGCCCTTTCTCCTTTTGGCACCAGGTGAAAGCCTTTGCATTTTCCAGGCAGTTTAACAGTTAAATTTGTAGTTTTGATATGGTCTTATTACATGCGGCTGCTGCTGCACCCAACTGCCAATTTGATCCGTTGTCTCGGGGTGTTTGTTACTGCTGTTGATCGGCTGCTGTTACTGTTTTTATTGTGATAGCATTACTTCTGTTTTCGTTTACACCGTTTAACTTCCTGGCTATTGGCTGGCATGCAAGTTAAATAATAAAAAAGTAAATATCTCTCTGCCGGCTGAGGTGGGGGATCCTCTCATTCGGTTTCTGTACCCCATACAAGCAAGGACGCCAGATGCCCCCTCCCAGCACAAAGGGACAGTTTGGGGGCATGAGCAAGCCCCTCGCTCTCAGAGGGCAGCCCACCGGAGGTGCGCCCCGTGGCGACGTCTGGCACACACGTCCTCACGTTCATCCCTTGCCAGATCTCTGCTTCCTCCCGGGGCGGCATCCCCATGATGTGGCAGATGAAGCAGGCCATCCCGCCAGGTGGCTTCCAGCTCACCTGGTGCAGGGCAAAAGCGCTGGGGAGACACAGGCAGGCCCCAACAGGAGGCCAAAGGGCCAGGGTGGGGAGGGCCAGCTGGCTGCCCTCGGGTGCCTCGAGGCGTGCTGAAGAGTCCACCACCAGGCCCATCAGCTTCGGGAACCATCTTGCCCGGTGCCCCAGCACAGAAATACCACGGGGCGGCCCTGGGATGGGATGCAGGTAAACCACCCCACGGAGAACTGGCATTTGCCTTGAGGATCCCCCGACTCCTACGATATGCCGCCACATCAGCCCCAGTGCCACCCCAGCGCTGCATGTGGTCCGTGCATCCTAGTGGTGGGGAGTCCCCAAGGAAGCCCCACCTGCAGCTTCACAGAGCCACAGCCTCCGGGTCCCTATGTGAGCAGGGGAAGCCATGAAAAGATACCTGCATTTCAGTTTCAGCCAGGAAAGGTTTAAGTGTGCAGCATCCACATCTTATTCACAAAACCCGATGAGGGGAAAGAGCTGGACCCGGTTGGCCTAGAGAACTTGGGAAGGTGGAGGGGAAACGGGGTGGCGTTTCTCAAATACCTGAACGGCTGTCACACACTGGGGGGCCAGGATCTTGTCTCTGCCATGAATAACGGGCTCAAGTTGAGAGAAGCCAAGTTCCGGCTGGACATCAGGAAGAACTTCCTGACTGTGAGAGCAGCGCAGCGGTGGAACCAAAGACCTAGGGAGGTGGTGGGCTCTCTCACCCTGGAGGCATCCAAGAGGCAGCTGGACAGCCCTCTGGGAGGGATGGTTTGATCTGGAGTCCTGCATGGAGCAGGGGGTTGGACCCGATGGCCTTCTTGCCCCTTCCAACTCCACGATTCTAGGATTCTGTTTCACTCTTTATGCCAACCTCTCCCAGCGAGCGCAGTCAGCTATGTTGGCTAGGGGATTATGGGAGCTGCAGTCCCAACACACCCAGAGGGTGCCAAATGAGGGAAGGCTGCTTTATGCCAGCTGACGTCGAGATGGGCTGAGCCGCTTAGAGGCAAAGCTTTGCCAAGGTCAGGGACTTGGCCAGCCTCCTCCCAAACAGCTGCTGCTGCAGCTGCTGCGGTGACCTCGCGCTGCAACTACAGTCTCGCCCGCTGCCTGGATAGGTTTCTGGGTGATTTTGCCCAAACATCACTCAACAGTAATATGGGAACGGAGCTCGGGACATGCCGCCAGCAGCACTGTCTCAGTGAAACAGGACAGCAGCCTCACTCGGTCGATATTCTGACAAAGGGGTCCCCCGTTTGCCAGCCAGGGCACTCAACCCGAGGGGTGGGAGGGAGAGAGTTGAAGCACAATCCCGGATCCCAGGACACACTCCGGCCCTTCTCCCGCTGACCACCCTGGATCCAGGCAAACGAGAAAAATGCAAGCATCAGGGTGATGCCGACAGGAGAAACGGGAAAGAAAACACCGATAAATGTGTGCTCGGCCCCAAATCTTCAGGACACTAAGCCTGAAGCAAGTGCACAGAAGCGTTAAGACATTTCAAACCAGCACAGAAGGCCAGGCTTTTCGTCAACATCCCCCAGCCTCCAGATATCACTGCCCACTTTGATAGAGCGAATTCAGCGCAGGAGGGGGAGTCTGAAAAACGGGGATTCCTGAGCTGCTGCACCCAACCCTGGCGACATCCTTCCAAGCACGGCAAGAGATCTGGCATTCTGTTCCTTAGCGCACATGCAAATATTTCTTCCTCGTTACTGAGGCACTTCTGACGTGGGCAGTCAGCAAAACTACTAGCAACTTCGCTTACTATAACCTCTCGAATGCTATCGTAACCATTTTAACAACTTCCACTTCATCGTTTTAGAGCAGTGTCTTTAGCGTCTGCTGCCCATGGCAAGCGGCCAAGGGCCGGCCAGCTGGCCTCCTGGGGAGCTAAGTATTCAAATGCGTGTCTAGTACAGACATGTACTACCTCTGCAGGAATACACGCATGTGCGCATGCGCACACACCAACGGCATTCAATCCTGGAGGAATCCTGTGCTTGCACCGCATTGAGTTGCTGCTTATGGCGCGTTCATCAAGCCTCAGGGCAACGAATCCATCCCAGTTCGGTCCCTTGTTGCCGCTCATTTGTGGTCACCTAAGCACTCGGCCCGGAGTCTACAAATGGCACGGCTCGTGGCCGGCTCACTCGTGGCTGGCTTAAACACAATGTGAGTTTGCACATCACAGTCTCCCGAAACGCTCAGTTTGACAGGAATACAAAAAGGGCCACGGGGTTTATGTTTACATCAGCAGCTGTCCATGCATTGCAGAGTTTTGTGGGGTTGGGGAGAGAGGAGGTTCTGTGGCAAAAGTACTCTTACTGAAGCACCTACGATTCCGAGAAAAGACAAAGCCCATTGGAACTTCAGTGGCAGAATGAAGGCCAGTTCTGTTCTTGGCTTCCTCCTCTGCACATAAGCCTTGCATGTTTAAATAGGCACTGCCCCCCCCCCCCCGCCCATTCTGCCCAGACATGGGGAGCTGCAGGCTGATTAAACTCTAGTTAGTGAATAAGTCTGGTTTGTTCTTAGTAACTACAGTTAAAACAAACCACCTTTCCCAGAGTTCATACTTAATGGGGAACTGAAGCTAGTTGAAGAAATCTGGCACGGATACGCCGAATCACGCCGGCATGGCTCCAGGAGGAGGATGGCGGAGGCTGTGCGAGCCCAAGGTCAGTGCAACCTTGATGTGCCCAGTCACAGAGCCATGGGGCTCTCCCTGTCCTTCAAGGGGCTGCAAGGCAAGCTGATGGCATTCCCTCTCCGCAAGCCGCTGGCCTCCAGCACGAACGCACGAGCGGCTGGCTGCCTCGCCTTGCCTTGCATGGGCTGACTGGCACAGCCCGCCTCTTCCTCACACCTGTCCTTGAGTGGCTGCCCAGAGTGCGCGACAGACTGGATGAGGACAAGTTAAAGGGAACCAGTCCGGGTGAGGGGGAGCTACAGAGGACTGGGGCCAAGGGGGCAAGGCAGGGGTGGCTCTCTCTGCCCCTCACCTTTAGTAGCGCTCGGTGTCTAGTTTTGCTTCTGGGCGCTCAGGTGCAGCTCACACAAGCACACTGGCGTATGTGTGTTGTCTGTATCCATGTTGGAAGAAGGGACATGAGGGGCGGGCATGCAATAGGCAAATCTTTCTAGGTGCTTATTTCCTTCTCTATGTAATGCACAAAGCGGCCAGATTGGCCCATTTTCCTGAGTGATCTGCTATATGGGCCATAACTGGCGGATTACTCTGAGGACTAGCCTCAGCCTTTATCTTTCTCATCTGTAAAATGGGTAAATATTGGCCAAATGTTTAATTCCTTAATAACATGCTTGACATGTGCACGTCCACCCGTGTGCCTTGAAGTGCAATCCGCAGCTGGGCCCTCTGGCTTGCGTTATCTTGGTTTGCGCTCTGTGCTTCTGACACAGTTGCCGCCCTGGTGGCGCTCAGCTCATGCACGGTACTCTGACATCACACGTGGATGATATTGCTTCGCCACAGGGCAGAAACGGAAGGCCAGAATGTTTTGTATGCCACTGCAGAATACCAGGCGCTCAGCACCCTCTGGGTACTGGAAATCGGCCTTCTGAAAGTTCAGGTGTGGGTAACCTTGCCTGGCTTGGGGCCTCCCTGTGGGAAAACTGGCCAAGACACCCTCCGTGGGCCTGCGTTTGCAGGCAAGGGAGAAAGGCCTAGGGCACAGGGAGGCTCAAGTCCTGGGCGCAACGGACAAGTCCATACACAGCCATGAAGCTCGCAGGTCGGGGTGCTGGCCACTGCCTTGACCGAGCCGGTCACCACGAGGCTGAACTGCCACGCTGAGTGGCCAGGAGGAGGAGTGGTGGGCACCAAAGCGGAGGAGAAGGGGGAATCGCTTGGCTTCCAGTGCAAGCAAGCAGCTGCAGCGCCCCCTCGTGGCCGAGCTGTTCCAACTCCCCCCTGCCACGGAGGGGCAGTATGGGCAGAGGGCCGCCCTGTGCCCCCTCTCCGCCTCCACCCTGCCCCCCCCCCGCACGAGCACGTGACTTTGCAGGCCTTACTTGTTGCTGTCCCGATACTGATAGATGTGACAGCCCTGCGGCATCCCGGTCTCCTTGTCCAAAGTAAACGAGAGCTTCAGCTGCAAGAGGAGGGGAGGGGAGGGGGGGAGAGAAAAGCACACGTTGAGGTGATGCTCTCGGCGGCGGCAGCCCCATGAAAGGCAGAGGGGATAAACCAACCTCACCAAGGCTGACACGCAACCGCCAAGGCCTGGAACATTGCGCCGATTTCCAAACCTCAGGGAAGAGTCACATGTCTTGCAGAAAAAGCACTGGCTTTTTCCACTCCTTCGTTACTATAAAGTGTTTGCGGTTCGGCTGAAATGGTGTGGGTCATGACAGCTCCCCTCCCGCTGCACACGCCCTCCAAAATCCACCACCCACCCGTGCACCAGTGGGGCGAGCGAGCTCGCGGCCCCCGAGGCGGCGAGGAAAAGGAGGGGTCTCCGTCAGCAGCTGGAGTTCCCACGAGCCTTTTCCCCCAAAAACCCAAGCCGCGGCCCTCTCGCCTACAGCAGAGAGGGGAGAGGAGGAGACCGCAGAGGGGAAGGTGACAAATTCCTCCTTTGGCACGGCCCTCTCCGAGAGCCACTTGGCAGGACTTGCAGTTTGGCCACGTGTCCAGCAGGGGGCTGCAGAATGACCTGGAAAAAAACGTGCGGAGCCCAGGATGGTGGCTGGGGCCCTGGGAGGGGCGGGAGATGAATTATTTGCTGGAAATCCAAAAAGGGATTTAGGAAGAGTGTGTCGATTCCTGTGTTATCCAAGGCCAGCTCATTTAAGTGAGGGAAAAACTAATTTGGCAATCCCACTGAAAGAAGAAACCCAATACTGCTCTGAACTGAGGTTTGTTTGAAAGGAGTGTGGAGTTTTGAATGGGAACCTGTTCGATGGACAGCACCGACGGGCGTGCAGAGTGCCTTACTTAAAATCCTGCAGCTGAAAAGGGGCGAGGGGGTGGGAGCAGGACGAGGACGCGGCCGTACAGGCGACCGCCTGCTCCTAGGAGAGTGGCTGCCCCCCCACCGCTTGACCCCTCCGCCGCTCCAGACCACACAAGCTCTCCAAGCAGCACGTTGGTCAGGGCACTGTGAGGAGGTGTCCAGGGAGCACAGAGCTCCAAGAGGTGAGTCAAGCCATTGAGCCAAGCCGCACACCGCCAGGGTGGGGGCAGGAGTGCCTAGATTCCCTCGCCCTGATCAGGAAGTCCCTCTTACCCAAGCAAGAGTTTCAGTCAGCCCAGGGCAGAACCGGACCCGGCAGATTCAGGCAGCCTGCTAGCCTGCGTGCGCCCATCGTGGGGTGCTGGGGGGGGTGCCATGTGCCCCAGACACCTTTCCTGGCGCCCTTCAAGGTGCCCTACGCCTTCTAATGGCCCTTCCAGCAGCTGGGGTGACCTCAGAGAAAAGCCAGGACCTGGAAATGCCTCCCATGGATGCCTCTGGGCCACACACACACACACGGCTCAGACCCACGGTCAGGAAATGGTGGCGGCACGTCACATGTCACGAAGGTGCTGCTCACCCTTCGCCACGCCTCCCGGGAGAGCGGCTCTGCAGCACCGGGGACACCCCCTCAAAGCACCAGATGTGTCTACAGACGGCAAACGATGCCCTGCCTCTGGCACAGAATGTCATAAATGCACCACAAAACGTGCCCCCCCCCCTTCAACGAAGAAAGGTTCCGTGGAAACGACTTGTGGCGTGTGATAGGAGAGCAGAGCGTGTGGACTCCTGGATGGTACTGAAACGGAATAAGCAGACCAGAGGGAACGATTTAGCACAAGTCTCCTGGTGTACGAACTGCAGGAACCTTTTTAGCTCCGGGGTGAGGGGAGGACCCTTCCAGCCCCGTCAGTGGCCCGCGGCGATACAGTGCAGACTCCCACCCCTTCGGCACAGTGCTGCCCGCAGGGCTTAACCTGCCTCTGAGCTGCAACACAAGAGGGCAGGGTTCACATGGCTGGAATCTGTCCCCACAGGGGGGACATTCCAACATGGCACCCCAAGCCCCCCCCCCACACCGATGCGGCACAGTCCAGGTGCAGCGTGGCCACCCTGCAGGCACCTGGGCCCTGAACTGGTGCCCCCCAGATGTACTGGGGTACCACTCCCACGCGCCTTGCTGGCTGGGAACTGCGGCGCTCAGAGTACAGCCCACCTCGAGGGCAGCAGGTTGGAGAAGGCGGGAGGCCCAGCGAGAATCTGTCCATGAGGACTGCAAGAGCAGCGTTTATGGGGGAAAGCGACCTCGCTGTAGCCTGCACCCCACAGAACGCAGGCAGCCCTCATCTGCCTGATGAGGCCGTGGAGGCATCAATGGAAGGGCTGTCCCGTCCTGGACGCCTGGAGCGAACTGGAGGTTGTCTGGACATGTGCCGAATGGACAACAGCCCTGACCTTTGCAGATAAAGCAGCGCCACTGAGAGACTGGCTTTGTTTGCAAACACTGCTGCCTCCTGGACCCGAGGGAACACTGCTGACTAAAATTAACAGCCTATTAAAGCGCAAAGGCTCTTTGCACAACGGGCCCACTGGCTCATTAGACGCAGTGCCAATCCCCACGGCTCTGCGGGACAAGGAATGGAAATCGGCGCGGCACAAGCAAGCTGACCCAAATTAAAACTGCTAAACGCGGAGCCAGCACAAGTCTGAGGAGAGCGCACCCAGCACGCCCCTGCACAAGTGCGCATCTGCGATCCCGGCCGGCCCCACAACGCCATGGGCCGCAAGGACCGACGCCGACAGGCAGGGCAGCGGCCCGGTCCCTGCCGCCCGAGCAGTTCTGGCCGGAGCCTGAAGCAGCCGCAGAGGCAGCAGGGGAGCGCGCCGAAGAGCGAGATGCTCCGCTTGCATGCTTGGAGACAGCAGAAGGCATCCATCAGAAAAGCCCGCGAGTCACGGCCCTGCTGGATCCCATCACGGCAAGTCATTTCCGGGATATATGCCTGCCGTCATTTTGTTCCATTGACTTGCCACCAGGTTCAACTTGAAGCCGGCGCGAGAGCTCCGGGGCCCATCCATCACCCAGCCGCATCCTTCGGAGAAGTGCGGCGCTTCGCCACAACTGCCGCACTTCACAGCTTGTCCTTTCCAGGCCATTGGGCTCTCCACACAAAAGGGCCATTCTTCACGCCAGGGGGGGATTTCACTGGGAACGAGCGCTTGGGAAGCCGTGTGGCTGAGAACAGAGCCTTCCATGCCGAAGGAAGCACATCACGAAGCGGCAAAGCCGCGTGTGTGTGTGTGAACATGGAGGGATTCTGACGGGGGGGGGGGGCTTTGGTCCGAGCTGCCGCTGTGAAATGGTGGGAGAGGTCCCCGGCTGGCGATACTGCGGCGCCTCTGAAAGGCGGCCTGGAAACATGCTGAGCAGCAGGAAAGGGCCAAGAGCCCCCGTCCGTGCATGTGCCCTCGCCTCCGAAGCAACGCAGGATCAGCCTCAGGTGATGGAGTGCTTCCATGGGGCTGCTGCAGTCGCACCCAACTAGCGAGGGGGGCACGGCCCCTTTCTTTCCACCACCCATTCCTGGGCCAAAATTAAGTGTAGGGCCTTAGAAGGCCGACGAGCTCGACCCATCACATCCCCCTGCGGGCCTGTGCAGGACCAACGTTCTGGTGGACGCGCGATGACCGGGAGGAGGTCGCTCCCCCACGCGAGAAATTGTGCCTCCCGCTGCTCTCCAAAAGTCCCAGGCTCATTCCCGGAGGGGCTGGGAAACTCCTGCCTGAGACCCCGGAGAGCTGTTGCTGTTGCCACGGTCTGTATTTACCACGCTGGGCCAGATGGACGCAGGGACTGCTCACCAGGAGCTGGATGCTCCCAGGAGCTGCCCTCCAAGACCACAGCTCAGGCACCAGCCTCAGGGGGGTCTGCTTTCCACAGTGGAGGAGCGATGCCCCTTAGGGCCGCTGATGGCGCCTCCCCCTGGAGCACAATGCAGGGGCCCTCTGGGGACATCCCTCAGCCCTCAAACGGGTGCCGACAGAGCTGGCCGGAGGGCCACGCGTGTTGGCCTAGGTGGGGCCATGCCCCCGATGCGTTGTGCTTGACAAGAAGCATGAGGCAGTGCGGCGACACGGGAGACCCGGAGGCCTCTGGAAGCACACAAGGCTGACACGGCTCCACCGCGTCCCAGAACAACGCCCCATTAGGCAGCCCAAGGCACCGTGGCAATCTGGGAGGGCAGCCCATGCCCAGATCTGCCAGGCTCTTCCTAATTCAGAAGCGGCCTCAAGCGATGCGAAGTCCTGCAGCCTGGGGAGAGGCATTGCAGCCCTTGGCCAGACCGGCCGTGAAGACGCTGGTCTTCGAGGCCCAAATGACCATTGCCAGCAAACAAGCGGGGCGGTTCTGTCCTCCCCAGATGAGCCGTCCCTGTGCCAAGCGCAAGGGTCTCACCACCGGCCAGTCTCACGGGCAGGACTGCAAAAACGAGCTGGGATGGGGGGCGAATGCAGAAAAATGGGAGACAGGGAGAAGCGAGGGGAGCAGGCAGTGCCTCCGTCAGAGGGACCCGCGGGGCACACCGACCCAAACTTCACTTTGCTTCATGGGGATCAGGAGGTGCGAAACCTGGCTGGATGCAGCGGGGAAGGTTCGCGTATCCGTCGGCAGGTGGACTGCAGACCTCTTCAGTTGCTCGCCGGATAGTCAGAGCACCTGCAGGGCAGGCAGCAGGCCCTGCTCGCCCGAAGGCCAGCGGAGGCTCCTGGCAGCAACCCAACAAGGGCCCTGCGGCAAAACCCGCTCGCCCCGACTCACAGGCTGCTCTGAGCTGGGACAGCGTGCATGGAGGGAGGGCAGGAATTCGGCTACCTTAGGGCAGGCTGTGACCGTGCCAGCCCAGAAGCGCTGCCCTCAACACTCTGCAGGGACAACGTTTCTGGATAGGCTCGGGGGGCTGCTTCCCCTGCCGCCCTTCCAGCGTGGATCATGGGCACAACGAGAGGTCTGTGCAAGAAGAACGGGGATGTGCGCACCCCTTTGGGGCACACACAAATGAGGGTGCGTGCTCATTTTAATCGCATTTGCCACTCCCAGGCAAGGCAGGCCGGTCCTGGGATCCCCACTGACCACC